CCGGGGGGGAGCGGGACCTGCTCCTTTTCCTGCCCTTTCTCCGCGGGGACGGGTGGCGGCCCCGGCCGTCCCTGCTCCGGCTGCGCCGGCGGGCGGGGCCCCGGCCGCAATTGCCGCTGCTCGCCGAGGATTCCGTGTCCTGCCGCCGCCGGCTGCCGTGCCGCGGGGCCTCCGAGTGCTGCTGCGCTTTCCTGCGGTGGTGCCTGCGGGGACAGGGGGGAAGTGACAGCAGGGATAATGGGAACGCCAACAAGTTGATTCTGCGGGTGAAAAAGGGGTTTTGGAAAGCCAGGAAATGCCAGTGGGGCAGCCTGATGCAAGCCATGACCAGGTGGCTCTCCTGAATCCTTCCTCCTGATTTCCATTGATGATGCCTCATCCCATCCCAGCTACCTCTTATCCCGATCTGGGGAAGAATCGGAGGATGATGGGGCAGCATCCTTCTTGGAATGCTTGTCTTTGTCCTTCTTCTTCTCCTTCTTATGTTTCTTCTTTTTCTTCTTCTTTTTCTCCTTTTTGGATTTTTTGCTGCTCTCAGGTCTGCAGAGAAGAGATCAAGCAATGAGAATCCCTGCACTGTGCATCCCTCTGGCTCCAAAAACTCATCCCCAACCCTTTTTCCAGGCACATCCCACCACATCCCTCCTTTGCCAAAGAAAAGCCCACAGATGCTTTTGGGGATGATTCAGAGAGATGCAAAACAAGCCCAGTGCCAAACAGAGCCATGGAAACATTTTGTAAAGCATTTCCCTCAAAAGCCAGGGCATTTCTGGTGATTTCCCACCAAATTGGGAAAAATCCTCACCGTTTCTCCTCCACCTTCTCCTCCTTTTCCTGCTTCTTCTTGGAGACAGGTATCTCTGGGCTGCTGGAGACTTTCTGGTGCTAGGGTTGGAGAGAGGGAAAAAGAGTGAATACATAAGGCCATAGTTTGTAATTACAAAACAAAGGGGGTTTTCTCCCTTTAAAATTTAAACCTGGAAAAAAAAATTAAATTACATTTGGGAAAAATTAGAGTACACTTAGGAGCTGCTAGCAAATTAAAGCCCCACAAATGAGCTCCACGCCAACAGGACACAGGAAACTCCTGCAGATCTCTGTGCTACAATATCCAGATAGGTTTTTAAATAAAATATTCCAAGTGTGGGGCACTGCTTTTTGCCTTTTTCCATCTATTTTTGAACCTTCCAAGGACGTGACTGGCACCGTACCGTGAAGACCGAGAGCCCCAGCTTGGCTGCCTCTCTGTCCTCCTTGGAAAGCATCACCCGGCCAGCACTGCCACTGCAGAGAAACCACACAAAAAAAGCATAAAAACCACTGAAATCAAACAAATTGTTCTGAAATTGGTATGGGATCTTTCCTTCTCCTTACCTGGAGCTGCCCAAACCCACCACCCGATCCACGTCCTTGTCGTCCCGCTCGGCGCCGTCCCTCTTGCACACCTCAGCCAGGTCCTGTGGGGAGAGGGGGACAGTGTCCTGTGTGTGTCCCCAAAATTACAGCCCAGGGGACACTGCTGGGACTGTGGTGCCCCTCTTACCTCTTTGCTGAGGCCCGTGGGCTGCCTCTTCAAGTTCTTGTAGCCCCTACAGAAACAAGAACAGGTGATATGTGAGGGGACACACACACCCCTCCTGTTTTTTGGGGTTTTTTGTGGGGTGTGGACTCACAGTGCTGCCATCATGGCCTCCTGCTCAGCCAGGCGGACAGCAGCCAGCTCTTCCTCCCGGGATAACGAGGGAGCCGTGTCCTTCTTGCCCTTGGCATACCAGGTCAGGTCCTTGCCCTTCTGCCACCGCCCCACCGGTGCCATCAGGGAGTTCCCTGCGGGGAAACAATGACCCCCCCTCAACACCATGGCACCCCAAAACCGTGGCAGAGGGGACAGGGAGGGTGGGGTAGGGGATCTGAGCAGGACCAGCCCTTACCCAGGTAATTCTCACGCTGTTTGTCCGTCTTGACATCCTCCCAGCTGAACTGGTCCTGGCCCCCCCGGACCCCGCCCCGGGAAGAGCCGAACATGGCACCGCACCCCGCGGCAAATTCGGGAGGATTCCGGTGACCTGCAAAGACAACAGCCCTGGGTTTACCCACTCCAGATCCTCCATGCAACTCTGGGGGGGCTCCTGAAGGTACAGGGAACCAAATTTGCCCCACCAGGGGTCAGTGGAGTAACCAAAGGCCCTTTGTGGGGGTGTTACAGGCTGGAAGGGGGGTTTATGAGGAGGTAAGAGGGGGTGAATGCCTTGGGGAGGGTCCCAGCCTCGGGGGAGGTTGCTGGGTGAGGAGGGGGACTTAGGGCAGCCTCGAGGGGGTTCATGGCCTTGGGGGTTCAGAGTCTGGGGTGGGGTTCAGAGCCTCAAGCAGGGTTTAGGGCCAGCAGTGGGGCAGCCACAGCATGGGGGTTTCAGGGTCTGGGAAGGGGCTGCAGAGCGAGGGGAGTTCACAGTCTGTGGGGGGAGAGTCCAGGACTAATAGCAGGAAGGTTTGGGTCTGGGAGGAGGTTCCAGGGTTGATGGAGGGGTTTAATACCCGCATGGGGGTTCTGGGCCTCAAGAGGGAGGGTTCGGGGCCTGGGGGTTTTCAGGGTCTAGGAGAGGGTTCACAGCCTGGATGGGATGAGAGCTGGAAGGGGGGGTCATGGCCTGGGGAGGGCATTACACGGCCTGGAGGAAAGGTGGTACAGCCCGAGAAGAGGCTGTACGGCCCGGGGTGGGACATTACCTGGGGGAGAGTTTCAAGGTCTGGGAAGGGGTTCAGGGCCGGGAGAAGCTGCAGGACCTGGACGCTGCAGGGCCTGAGGTGGGAGTTTGCCTGTCCCCGAGGCTTGTGAAAGCAGCTCGGGGCAGCCCCGGACCCTCTGGGTTGGGGAGTGCGAGGATCGGGTGAGCCCGACCCGCGGGGTCACAGCTNCGGCAGGCGCGCGCGGGGGCTGCCGGGACCGCCCCCCCCGTCCCCTCATGATCCTCGGGCGGATGCGCGGGGCGGGGATCGCCCGGGCGGGTGAGCGGGGATGGGGCGCGGGGCTCACACCCTCACGGGGACCGCATGCTGAGCGGCACAGCCGGCCGCGGGGTGCCGAAACCCTCCCAAGGGCCGTGGATAGAGGGGGTCTAACCAGCCCAAAGAGCTCGGTCACTCACGGGGGTCCTCGGCTGAGGGGCCTCGGGGCGTTCAGCCCCTCACGGGGGGCCTGGAATGAGGAGTCCTGGCCAGCTCCGGGGTTCTCAGCCCCTCACAAGGGCCCTTGGCTGAGGGGACCCAACCTGCCCTGGGGTGCCGAACTCCTCGTGGGGCTCCTCTGCTGAGGGATGCCGGGGTGCTCAGTTCCTCTTGGGAGCCCTGGATTGAGGAGTCCTGGCTGCGTTTGCGGTGCTCAGCCCCTCACAAAGGCCTGGGACTGGGGGGCTCCAGCAGGCCCCAGGATGCTCAGCGGGTCACAGGGTCCTGCACTGAGAGCCCTCAGCCCCTTATGGGATCCCTGAGCTAAGTGGTCCCAGCTGGCCCCAGCTGTTGAGTGCCTCATGGGGATCCTCAGTTCCTCGGCTGGAGTGTCCCGGGACACTGAGGTGCCGACCTGGGGGTGCTGATCCCCCCCTGGATGAGGGGGCTGATACCCGGCCCCGGGGAGGCTGAGCTCCTCCTGATCCGCTGCATCCTGCATGTCCTGTGTTATCCATGTGGGATGGCTGAGGGGGTTGGGACAGGTCACAGCCCCACAGGGCTGTCCCCGGGCTGGCTGTGTCCCCTTCCCAACATCCACACTGGGTCCCCATTGCTGAGCTGCTCCAGGGTGGCTCCAAGGTGTCCCTGCTTGGATAAGCCAGGCAGGGATGTGGAATCAGGTGAGGTTTGTGGGCACCGTGGGGTATGGTGAGGTAAGAGAGGTTTAGGGATAAGCATCCTTCAGGTGTCTGGAAACAAACACATGTGGGCAAGTGGATGGCAAAACCACACCTGTGTGAGCTTCACCTCTGTAGAGGTTTTCCCAGGTGGGTAAACTGGTTTTATCATACTGGTGGGTTAAACTGGTCTGGTTTACAGGAGGACATGGTCTGGGATATAACTGGTTTGGACCTCTCTGATTTCTGCAGTCACCTTGAGCAAGTGGTTTGTATTCCATCTGCAGCATCACTGCTCCCTGCAAGCCAGGAGTGCAGCCAGTGGAGAGGCTAATTAGTGCTTTTTAGGTAATTGTTTCCAGGAAAAAGGTGGCTGAGTTCCAGCCCTGTACTGTTGTGATATGCTCTCCTCCTCACAGAATCCCAGGATGGGGAAAGTTGGAAGGTTGGAACCTCCCTGCTCCTGTGCTGCAGATAATTCCCTGTCTGTCACAGCAGGAGCTCTCTCCCTTTTTGGAACCTGTCCCAAATCTTAGAAAGGTGGGGGTGGCACCTTTATAACAAACCGGCTAAAAATAGGGGGTGGGATTATAATCCTAATCTAGGAGACCTTTCTCAAGGCTCCAGGGAAACTGTGCTTTAATCTTCTTTTCTTCTTCATAAGGGGGCTTTGCCTTCCCTGTAAAGCCTCTCTGCTAATCAGTTTTAATTTGTTTAACTCTTGTGATGTCTGTCCTTTGCTTCCCTGGTTATGTTGCCACCTACGAGGTAAAATCCAGGGTGAATTAACAGCACAGGCAGACCAGGAACCATTCCTTGCACTGGGGACATGCTCCTGTGACCACCTCGTCTTTTTGCAGCCCAGAGGGGTTTATGTACCTCTTTGTCCTCAGTCCCAGGTGTGGGAGATAATTAATATTGATAATTTGTTGGGCTATTTTCTTGCTGATCAACTCTGCAGTGGTTTTGGTGGATCAGGCTGGATCCCAACCCATTTTTAGGAAACCCTCTGTTCTGGATATTTGCAGATTGGCTGCTCTGAAAATGCCAAAATCTGACAAAAGGGGGGGGAAAAAATCTGAGCTTCTGCCTAAAATAAACACATCCTTGTGACACTCCTGCTGCAGGCAGCTTGGAAATGTGATTCACCGATGCATTCCTGGAACCAAACAGGAGAGAGAGAAAAGTGCCACATCCACCAGACCTGGGGTTTTGGGGTTCATTTGTTGCTTTACCTGTGGAGGGAGGAGCTGTTTGGCAGGGATGGGAGAGCAGGGAACGAGGGCAGAGAGATCCTGGGATTGCCCAGGGATGCTCCATCCCTGGAAGTGCCCAAGGCCAGGCTGGACAGGGCTTGGAGCAACCTGGGATAGTGGGAGGTGTCCCTGCCCATGGCAGGGGTGGAATGAGATGAGCTTTAAAATCACTTCCAACCAAAGTTTTCTAGAATTCTATGAAATTCTCAGTTTGCCATCATTCCTTGTGTGAGGGCCCAGCTCCATTATCTGGGAGTGGAAATGGCTTTTGTTCCCTCTGTTTTCCTCTGCAGATCTCCAGCAAGAGAAGGGATTCACGAGGGAGGCAGGAGGAAACACCTGCAAGTCTGTAGGTTTATTTTTAGCTGTTTTGAAAGAAGTGAGACATGATCACAACCCAGGTGTCTTTTCTCTTAGTTATGAGTATTTTGGGGAAAGAAAAGGGAGTGAAGTAAAGGAGAGGGTCCCACTGTGGAAGTAGTTTGGGTCTGTGAGCAGGAGAAGGAGTTTTCCTGTTGACTTTGTGGTCCTGGACCTGAGATGAAGCTGTGCATTTGATCCAGAGGAAAAGGCATGTTCCTGCAGAAGGAAAGTGCCTGGAAGTGTTCCAGGTTGGATGGAGCTTGGAGCAGCCTGGTCTAGTGGAAATTGTCCTTGTCCATGGCAGGGGTTTGGAATCAGGAGGTCCCTTCCAACAGAAACCATTCCAGGCTTCCACACAGACAAAATCCCTGAGCCTTTGGTGACTGCAGGGACAGCCTTGCTGTTCTCCATGGTTCCAGACCAGCAAGGGCTGGCACCCCTCAGCCTTTTGGGGGTGTTGGATGCAGCTTTGCCAGCCAAGAGAGCAGAGAGTGGAGGAGGAACCTCGAGGGGAGATTAAAGCTCAGCAGGATTGTTCTCATTGGCCATCTTCAAATTGTGGCTCATTAATTAAGGCTTTAGGAGCTCACAAATAGCCCAGCTCTGTCACCAGGAGCCTGTGCTGCTGCCAGGGGCTGCACTGCTTTCCTTGGCTGGAAGGGAGCACAAGGAAAAGGTAAGGATGTGTTGGGGCCTGCTCCCAGCCCATTCCTCTTCCCAGTGTTTGGGCTTGAATGAAATGATTGGAAGTGATTTGGGCAGCTTTGAATTCCTACTGGTGTTTGCTGAGGAGCAGATGAAATTTTGAGGGAGAAGAGGGGAAAGCTTTTTCCTTCTGGTTGGGATCTGGGACTGGGGTTTGTGCACAAATCCAGCACAGTTCTGGCCCAGCTGGATCCTGGAAGGAAGTCTGGAACATCTGGAAATCCAGGTTGGCATCCCAGTGTCACTTGTGGAGTTTTGGGGTGCTTGAGGAAGCTGGTGTGTGATGAAGGAGCATTGTTTGGGGGCAGTCGTGTTGTGAAGCACATTGGGATGTCTGAAGGGGGTGAATTTGTGTGGAGAGTTTTCCAAGGAATGCTTAGGGATTACCTGATGGAATTCTGTGGGAGAGAACTGTGAGGGACAGGAGAGAGGGAAATTTTGGATAATTCCTCAGGGAGTGCTCTGCTCCATTGCTGCAAGCACTGAGTAGCATTTCTCTGGTGTATTGAACATTTAGGCAAAACCTGTGTGTTTTGTAAATTACGGAGTTTAAGGACCAGGGGAATGGTAGGAATGCCCCCAAAGGACTTCCTAGAGTTGTGGTTTGGGGATGATGGAGCCTAATCCAGCAATGTGCTTATGAGATTGGTCCTCACAAGATTTCATCTGTTGGATCTCTGAGGCATCAGCAAAGGAAAAAGAAGGAATAAAGGAATTTCCTTATGGATGATTCTTGCCCGTGGGTGTTTTCACCGCCCACGTTGCCGCTGTTGGCACCGCCTTAGCCTTTGTGTATTAATATCCCGTCCCTTGGCGCAGCCTGGGATGAACTGCGGTCAGACAAGTATCCTCAGGGAGCAGAGGGAAAAGTTGTGTAATTCTCCGGGCTGTCGTGCTGCCCGGGGGAGGAGGGATTTAGGGCTAAGGAGGCGTCCCGCTCACGCAGGCGGGGTCAGGGAGAGGGAGCCCGGCGGGATTAGCCTGCGGCCGCTCTGGTGAGACAGCATTTGGCTTAAGGCTGTTTGAAAAGTGATGTGTAAGGTCAGGGTGACATTGCTATGAGCTAATTTAAAATGGAAAGGCATTATCTGCCTCTTGGCTGGTGGCTCCCCATGCCACACCCAGCCCGGGAGGCTAAAAAAATGCTTTTCCAGAGACTTTACGGCTTGCTGAAAGTAACTGTTTTTAAATAGGAAGAACTTGTTTGATTTGTCACTCTCACCATCACTTCTGGGTTTGGAAGCTGCTGATGGATGAGGGTCCCCAGTGGTGCCCCCTGCACCTTTACACAGCGTTTCTTCTTTTTCCCATGTGGACAATTAACCTTTCTTCCTCTCCAGAGACACAGCAACATGAAAGCACTTTTCTTTCTTTCTGGCTGAAGAAGCAACTGCAGCAAGCTCTGTGTGGCCTCAGGCTGCCTTTTTTCACCTGTACCAGGAGCTGATCTCTGGGGTCTCTTTCTGTTTTGCTGTGAAGCACCTGCAGATGGAGTTGGTGCTTCAGGAAACAGGAATAAACCCCTGAGCATGTTCATGGCAGTGACTGCACCTGTGTTCAGACCCTTTGCAAGGGTTTGGGGGTTGGTGATGCAAAGTCTTATCTGCAAACTCTCCTTGAAGCTCCTTTCTCCCTGTCAGAGGGAAGGGGCTGGGACTGCTGTACCTCTGTCCCATGATTCCAAATGCCACCAGGCACAAATAGCATTTTGTTCCTTTTAGACAGAGTTTCCCTTAGGATTTTGGTCCCAGTGAAGCCCAGCTGTGATGGAAAACAGCTGGCTTGAATCATCCCAGTTTAGTGGCAGTTAAATCCCAGTTTCCTCCTCCTTTGAGTTACATCCTATGAGCTTAACCTCAGTCACTTGAGAAGTGTTTCTGCACTCCCAGTACTTTATATCAGCTCTAGGCTTGTGATTTTCATCTTTTCAGGTTTTCCTGCAGAAATTTGTACCCAAGGGTGAAGGAATGGTGCTGTTTTGAGGGACTGAGCACCCCTGGGAATCCACAGCTGTGTTTCCAAGGGTGTTTCTAACCAGACACATTTTTCTGTCTCTCCCCAGTCATGCAGGGACCAAGGCCAGTGGTTCTGAGTGGCCCATCAGGTGCAGGGAAAAGCACTTTGTTAAAGAAACTGCTCAAAGATTATGAGAACATCTTCGGTTTCAGCGTCTCCCGTGAGTATCCAAGGATGGGCTGTGGAGGAGCTCAGGAGTGCCAGCTCAGAGCCTCTCTTTATACCCCAAATAATGCTTTTTCATGGTTTTTCTGTGTCCCAGTCTGCCTGTGGGCTCTTGGGGATGTTTAAATAATTCATGGCACCTTTTACTCTTGGTATTGAGTGGCAAGTCTAGGATTGGTCTGGAGTAACACCTTTCCACAGGTCTGGTGATGCTCCACATCTCTAAACACAACTCAGAGAGGAAACAAGAACCTTCTGGGTGATTCTTGACTCTGAAAGTAACAGAATCCCCCCCACATTTCTGCTTCAAAAGCCATTTGATTTTTCCATGGAGCTTTGAAAGGTGTTTTTAGGTCCATTACCAAAATGTGTTTTAATGTCCCAACATTTTGCCTACTGCAAGTAAAATCTGTGATTTGAGATCTGGATTCTCTCTACCATGAAAGAGAAAATACTGGATGTATAAAAATATAATGCTGTGGGAGGAGAAAAAAACTTTAAATTATCTTTTTTTTTGTGTGTGTGTGATTCTACGCTCCTGATTCAACTGAATCTCTCATCTCACTCCAAACTAAACCTTATTTTTCCCAAGCTGCCTCTTGCTAGAGATTTTTTTCCTGGAGATCCACGTGCCACTCAGACCTTGGCATTTCTTTGATCCTGCAACACCTGTGAGTGATATACAGAATTTACAATTTTTTTTTTTCTTTTTTTTTCCCTACAGATACCACAAGGCAGCCAAGACCTGGAGAAGTGAATGGCAAAGGTGAGCCTGTTGCAGTTGGGTCTGTCTCATTGGGCTCTCAGAATAATTCAGGTTTTCAAAGCTGGGCTCTCATTTTAGGTACTGTGCTCTGAACTTGGGTGTTGAGTAATTTGATTTTCCAGAGTTCCAGGTAGTTTTGGGGAGATATCTCCAATGGCCACTGCTTTGGGAAGTGCAGCTGCTGCTGAGGTGGTTTTGGCTGTATTAATAACTTGTGCCCAGCTGTTTTCTTATGCATTTGCATATTTAAGAACAATCAAATGAGGTTTGCTCTTAATTTCTAATGGCAGTTTTCTCTCTGAAATGAAAGGAAGGAATTTCAACAGAAGATAGAGAAATATTCCTTTTTAATTAGTTTGGTTTTGATGTTCCCTTTTATCTCCCTTCTCTCATCCCATTCTGATCTTTAATGAGAAGCCCTTTCAAATGAAAAGCCTTACCATTCCTGCTGTAATGTGTCCCACACCTGCAGGCAAGGGGGGAGAAGTTCCCACTGCACCAGGAATGGGGAAAGGATATGAAAAATTGGGTAGAGCAGCATTTTGGCCACACAGAAAACTCCAGAATGTTTTGAGCAGGTGTTTGGACCACTGGTGTGGAAGTAGGAAGTGAATCTCTGCAATCTGCCAGCATTGCCTAAAGCAGATTTTAAGTGTCTTTTCCTCCCAAAACCCATGGGTGTCATTTTGACCAAATGTTAATTTCTGTCCATTTTTCCCGTTTTCCCTTCTCCAGATTATCACTTTGTGACCAGAGAGGAAATGCAGAAGGAAATTGATGCTGGTGAATTTATCGAGCACGCGGAATTCTCTGGGAATATGTACGGGACAAGGTGGGTCAGGTGTCCCTGCCTGTGCCAGAGTGGCTGGAATTAGATGGTGCTGAAGACCCTTTCCAATCCAAACTGTTCTGGGGTTCTAGAAAATAAATACAGAACCTCTCCAAGCCCCTGAGGATGTTCCTGCTCAGGTGTGGGACAAAATGGGGAGTCCCTCATGCTTAGTTGAAGTTGTCACCAATCCTTTCTGCTCCCTAACTCTCATCAGTGAATAATAATGAATGATTAAAAGGCTTGAGGCAATTCCCCACATTGGGGAATTTAAATGTAAAAATGCCACCACTAGAAAAAATTAAGTAGAGAATTAAGTGCATCTTGTGACTTGATGGAGCATTGATGTCCATCCACACAGGAGAGTGTGTGGATCTCTGGAGAACTGGAGTTCTCAGTGGTTTTGCTTTTGGGTGAAGGTTGTTTCCATGTTTGTCACAGAATCCTGGGATGGTTTGGGTTGGAAAGGATCTTTAAGATCATCGAGTTCCAATCTCCTGCCATGAGCAGGAAACTTCCATCTAGCTGGTGAAGCTCTGCCAAGGCGGGAGTTTGTGGACATCCCACCCATCCTGTGGGATAGTCACACCTGATCCATTCCCACACCTTCCAGCATGGCTTTGCCAGCCTCTCTAACAGGAGACAGCAGCTCCCAGCTCCACCCAGAGCAGTGACACCTGGAGAAACTCTTCACCGAGAGCAGAGCAGGCTCTGTCCTCTCCGGGCACAGGGGAGCCCTGTGAGGTTCCCCCGCTGCTGGATGGGGACACCCCAACCCCCCGGGCGCTCTGACCCCTTCCCTGTGTGCTGTGTCCCCAGTAAAGGAGCTGTGCAGGCCGTGCAGGCCCAGAACCAGATCTGTGTCCTCGACATCGACATCCAGGGCGTGAAGAACATCAAGAAGACGGAGCTGAACCCCATCTACATCTCGGTGCAGCCGCCGTCCATTGAGATCCTGGTGAGCGCCCGCCTTGCTTTGCCGTTAGCAGTTAGAGGTAATCAGCGTCCGGCTCTGCAGCCGCGGGGCTCCCCTTCCTCAGCCACCTCTGTCTTCCTCAGGGCCCTGCACTAGATGGGGAGGACATTCCCAAGAATATCTCTGTCCAGCCCAGCTCCCCAAGCTTGCAGGGATTGATCTTCCTGTGTTTTGTTGAGTCCTTCCTCAAATGTTTTCCACACCTTGGTTATGGACTCCATTGCAGCGTGGCCAGTCTTTGAACACGTTAATTGTGCTTCATGCTGGGGAGACAAGGATTTTGTGCTGAGATTTGTCTCCACAGTTAAAATTAAACCCAGGGAGGCTGGTTCTGTGCAGCACCATAAATTCTATGGCCCTCTGGTCTTACCCCTATGTAAGTGATTGAGGTGGGACTTGTGCAGGAGTGGAATGACTGTCATGGTTCAGAGAGGGATGAGGACACTATGAGCACAACTCCTGATTCTCCCCTCTTGCTCTCAGTACATCAGGCAGGCTCTGTTTCTCGTTGAGTTTGTGGAGGAGGAAGCCAGCAGCACCAGATGCCAGAGCACAGCAGAGAGATCTCATTTCCAGCAGTACCTGGAAAAATAAATAAATGAGAGGGAGGTAAAAGAAACCTGGGACCCTGAACTCTGGGTAGGAGATCTTAAGCCACTGGTTTGCACTGGGCTGTAAGTGAGGCCCCTCACCCTTTGCAGGGTGTTCTCACGTGCCCGTGGTCACAGACAGCACCGGCCTGAGGGTGGGGGTGGTTTCTGCCTGCAGCTTTCAGGACACTCATTTCTTTAATGTCCTTGTCCTTGGGTTTAGGAGAAACGACTACGGGACCGAAAGACTGAGACAGAGGAGAGTTTACAGAAGCGCTTGACTGCAGCCCGTGTGGACCTGGAGCTCAGTAAGTCCTTGGAGTGGTGTGTGCAGGGAGAGGGGATGCCTGGGTGATTTGGGAGCTGGTTTTTCTGGGAACATCTGCTTTGTGCTCTCCAGCAGTGCTGGCAGGGCTTGCCATGGGCTGAGTTGGATCTCTGCTGCATTTCCCACTGCAGTTCCTTGGGGGTGCTTGGCAGAGCAGTTCATTAGCAGCAGCTGAAATAATATTAATGCTAAAAAAGGATATTAAAATGCCACAGGACTCTGTGCATGAGAACTCAGGGAGGAAAAGTTCTCCTCTAACTCTGTCATCTTCTCCTTCCCCAGGTAAAGAGCCTGGGCTGTTCGACCTGGTCATTATTAATGATGATTTAGAAAAGGCCTATTCTGAATTGAAGGAGGTGCTGCTGGAGGTGAGTCCTTGGGGATTTTTTTCCTCTTTGTTCCTGGGTCAGGCAGGTGAGGGTCTTCTCAGGCAGCCACAGAAATGTCACCTCATCCCACGCTTGGTCTGCTTGGAGCTGCTGAGATTGATGGATCAGTGGCCTAAGAGTGGGAAATGAATCCAACACAATCCCGAGTTTGGGCAAAGTAAACATTCATCCCTGAGTAGCAAAGAAGGGGATTCCTGTTTCTGGAGCTTCCAAGTCAAACCTTGCCTTGTCCCTAAAGGTGCACTCAGGGCTTGGTCCTGGGATGTCATGGAACTGGTCTGAATTGTTGGTCACTCCTGGTCTCCTAAGCTGTGGAACCAGGAGTTGTTTCCCTGTGAAACCAAAGAGTGGCAGATTCTCAGTCTCTTTCCTGATCTCCTTGCAGGAAATCAAGAAGACCGAAGAATCCAGGAAGTCCTGAGCTGACCCTACTTGGCCGTTTCAATTTTGCACATCATTCCCGAAGCACGTCACTGTTTTATTCCAAAAGACATTCCCTTTAGGCTGCTCCTTCCCCCAACCTACCTAGGATGTTTATATTAAAAGGAAAGAAAAGGAAACCTGGGTCATGCCTGTGTTTGTGTTCACTGAGTGCTCAGCACGTGCTCCCCCAGGTTTGAGCTGCCAAAGGGCTGAGCCCTTCTGGAAGGCTGTAGGAAGCTGTTGGGCTGATGTGCTTGAAGGCAGCGATAAATCCCTTTTCCTAGGGGGAATCCACTGCATCCAGTAACTGTTGCTTGTACAGGTCTCTCTTCTGAGACCTGGAGAGCTTTGCACTTCATTTCCCAAGTTTTCTTTAGCCTTAACATTGATGTTTTCATGAAACTTCCAAGGCCTTCGATCCCTCCAGCAGGAGATATCCTCAGTGTCCTTGGGTTGGTTTCTCACACTGTGAAAACTGTGGGGACAAGCTGGGAGAGCTGGGGATGTTCCCCTGGAGAAGGATCCAGGGAGAGCTCAGAGCCCCTTCCAGAGCCTAGAGGGGCTCCAGGAGAGCTGGAGAGGGACTGGGGACAAGGGATGGAGGGACAGGACACAGGGAATGACTCCCACTGGTTGGATGGGATATTGGGAAGGAATTCCTGACTGGGAGGGTGGCAGGCCCTGAATCCCTGGAAGTGCCCAAGGCCAGGCTGGACAGGGCTTGGAGCAGCCTGGGATGGTGGAAGGTGTCCCTGCTATGGCAAGGGTGGAATGAGGTGACCCTTAAGGTCTCATCCAAGCCAAACCCTTCTGGGATTCCATTCTGTGGGATGACCAGTCTGTCTGTCAGAGCTCCCATCCTACAGCTGCTTTCCCCACACAGCCCATGACCAGCCGTGCCCCGCAGTGCCAGGCTGGGATATTTTCTCACCCAGACCACATCTTACCAGGGCAGGTTTGTACCTAAACACTCCATTTTTGGGTTTCATCCTCTTTACATCCCACCCCTCCAGTTTATCCAGCTGCACTGCTCTTGGTCCAGGTCATCTCCAAAGCCCCGTCCTCCACCTTAAGGAGACAACAAGCAGAAACCCCCCTTGGGCAACCCTTTTAGTACCTTTCATTCACAGCTATGATTTGAAGATTATTTTGATCATTTACCTTTCTTGGACTGGTTTCTTGGTGTAGATTTCCTAGAAAATAACACTTCCTGTTGTTGTGGGTTTCCCACTGCTTGGTTCTGGAACTGGCTAAACAAGCAGGAAAGTCCTGTGTGGATTCATGGTTTGAACGGCTGTGTTCAGGCTCTTCCTTCGCCATCAAGTGATGGGCTGTGATTATTTTTTCCTTCTGAATCGTGGGATTTTGTTACAATCGGAGGGAATTGCGTTTGCGATGAGAGAAGGTCTCCTCTAGATGGCAGGAACGGCAGCGGGAACGCGCTGGAGTCGCGGAGCAGCAGAGCCGAGGTGCAGGACACGGCGCCCGCCTCAGTCCGGGGCTCTGCGGCCACCGCGTGGCACCTGCGGGGCTGGCACCAGATGGAAGTGCCCAGCTGCTCCCTGCGGATCCCTCCCGCCAGCCCGGCCTCGGCTCATCCCTGCGGGACAGGTGAGTGCGCCGGGGAACGGCAGCGATGCTCCAGCCGCGTGGCAGCTCTTGGAAAACGGGAAAAACAAATCCTTTGGATCGTTTGCATCCCCCCCTTTCCTGGTGATGGGCAAGGAGAGGGAAGTTGGAAATATCCCAGCCTGGTGGGGTGCCCTGCTGTAGCTGCTGTGGGCGATGGAGCAGACGGAGAACGCCTGGAACGCTGGTGCTAACGTGAAGTGACGGGATGGCCATCGGGATGGCGATGGGAAGAGGAGGGAGCAGGAGTGGGTGGTGGAGCCAGGCTGGTCCCCAAGCAGGTGACATGGCTGTGGAGCATCTCCAGGGAGTCATTTTGGGTGCTGTCAGCAGTGCCCCTCTCCAGGTTTGGTGATTTGGAGGGGCTGTGCATCAAATCCTAAAGCTGGGTGGGTGAAGGCACTTGTTGAAGTGAGTTTAATTCCTGCACCCTCAGAAATGGGATGTCTGTTTTGTTAATTGGTGTTTGCAGCCATAAATGCCTTTCTGGACCTGTGGGTTTGGTGCTGGCCCATTGGGATATTCCATTCCCACATCCCTGGGGCAGGCAAGGACCACGCTGAGCATGGCAGGTGTCAAATGCTGGGTTCTCCACAGCTGCAAACATCTGCTGCCAGTGCTCCATGCGGGGCTGGCACTGAGGGGTCAGATGGGGAAAGAGAGGATACAGGAGCCTGTCAACCCAGGGGTTGTCTGGGATTAAAGATGCTCCTCCTGGAGGACCATTTCCCCACTTAGATCTTCCAGGCAGGATGCTGCTGTTCCCATCTTGGGGTGCACCCAAGTAAAGGAGCAGGCCTGCTCCTCGGTTGCTTCCACAAATGCCGGAAGTAGGGATTTTATATAACTGTATATTCACTGTTCCGTCAGACTGAGATAAATTTGGACAGACTTCAGCTTTTTTCAGCTGAGATGCTGTGGGAAATGTGGCAGCACCTACATCCCTGCAGGAGGAGGAAGATGCTGGGGGAGGAAGAGGAGTGCAAGGGATGGTAAAAGCTGGGATAAAACCTGCCCTGGGAGCTCTCCTGTCTGAGGCTGAGGATATTTTGGAACCAATGCCAAAGAAATAACAACCCCCTGTAGCACTTCTGCTTCAAAGCTGTTGCTTTGCAGCCATAGCATTGTTTTTTCACTGAATCCAGGCTGACACACTGCTTTTGGGGCAGGAGCTGATTATTGTTCCCCCATTTTTCGATTTTCCTTCCTACCCAAGCTCTTTGTCAATACAAATATTCCTTCAAGGAGTGAATGTGGGGTTTGGACTCAGAGGTCACCTCTGCTCTGACCCAGCAGCACCCCGACCCTGCTTGAGAAGGATGTTGTGCAGGGATGCAGGAGGACAGGCAGTCCCCAAAGCCCAAATCATCCAAGAAAAGCTGGAGCCTCACTCCAGGACAACTTGAAGCAGCCAACATTAGCCCAAAGCCCATTTTCCCCCATCCTGATGAGCCCACGGTCCAGAGACTCGTCCTTGCCGTGGTTTTCCTTGGCATCTCAGTGCCGTTGGAGGCAGCTCTGATTTTCAGGCTTCCTTCCATGCCACTGCAGAAAGGCACCGCGGGGCAGAGCCGGCCTGGGAAATAATTGGGCAGCCGGCGTAGAAAATGAGCAACGGGGGGAAGAAGGAGCAGGAATAATCCTGATTTTCCTGCTCGTCCATCAGCGTCCGGCTCGCTCCGCGCGTTTCCCACGGCAGCGCTGGGATTGAGCATCCCAGGTATGGAAGTGGGAGGGGATGTGCTTGTGTTGGGGCATGGGGAGGGGGTGTCATGGATGTCCTAAATGCTGCCAGCAGTTATCCTGTGAGGAAAAGCTCCTGGGATCTTCTGGAGAGGCTGTTCAATGCGAGAGGTCACTAATTCCCACCTTTTTTGGCAAAGACAGCTTTCCTGTTCTATCCACGATGGAAGCATTAGGAAACCCTTCAGCAGCATGCATGGCTTCAAACAGGAGAGCAGGGAATTTGGGGTCTCATCCTCATCCCTCCGCTGTGGACCCACCTGCCCGTGTTCCCCAACCTGCCAGGGTGCAAAAACCTCTGGCAGCTCCCAGCTGTTCCAAAGGGAATAAAGGGCAGTGGAGCCCATGGGACCAGAGGGAACTGGGCTTGGGATGGATTTCCCCAGCCATGTGGATCCTGGGCTTTTTGTCAGGAGGTTGCAGCTGGGCTGGGTGGTGTGATCCAGGGTATCCTGATGTCCCTTGTGTCTCCCACAGGACAAGGAGGTGACCACCACGCTCCAGCCTCACGGTGAGATTCCAGCCAGCACCACCAACGCTGACCACAGGTAGGTCCCATTGTCCCACACCAGTCCCATTATCCCTGGGATAATTGATCCAGGTGGGACTCAAATGGATCTGTGCCAGCATCCCTTGGCCAAAGCATTGTTCCTCCAGGGCTTTTCTCTGCCTGTGCTGCTGCTGGAAGGGAAGTTGAGTGGGAGGATGGAATTTTCTGGATGCTCCAGGGTTCTTGTAGGAGTTCTGCCGTGCCCATCAGCTCCACGAGGCTGACAGCAGCTGGCTCAGGGGCCAGGCTGTGCCTGCCTTGCTGGGAGCTGTTATTTGGGTCAGCCACATCGACTGGATGTGCAACTGTGCCATCCCTGGAGAGCGTGGGACACCAATCCATAACCACGGCCGGCATGGCACGCACGGCCCGGCATCCTCACCCTGCTCCCGGCTCATCCCTGCTCCCAGCCTCCAAAACTCAGGAATCCAGTACAGGCTCGGCTTTTTCCACCAGCAGCAGCTGTGTCTCCGCTTGTCCCGGACACTGCTGCAGCCCTGTAAACAACCAGAAGCCATCTGCAATTCCCATTGTGCCGTGGCAACTGCTACAGCCACCGGAACAACCGGATGTTTGTGGAATCGGGGATGCATCCCCCTCCTGACGCCTGATTCCTCTCTGTCCGGCCACAAAAAGGAGGGAGAACAGGATGTTTTTCTGGATTTTACTTTCCCCATCTCTGGAGATGCAAGGAAGGGATAAAAAAAGAAGGGAGGCAGAAAAGCAAAATTCCAGTATCCAGGTGGAGCTGGGAAAATATACATATATATTCCTCAATTTCCAGAGGGTTTATTTTATTGAAGCCATGTGGGAATAAAACCCCTGGGAGCTGGGTCCAGTGGGCACAGGGAAGGAGCCCAAGTCATCAGCCCAGCATTAATCTGAAGATATTCCCTGAAGGGTCAGGGGTTGCTGCTCCTGTTTCTATCAAGTCTTGATGGAAAACAAAGTGTCTGTGTGGTGGGCATTGAACTTAAGGGATGGCCTGGCTCCCTAATGTGGAGTCAGCATGGAGGTGATGGAAAAACCTCAGAAAGCCAAGAGGAATGCTCCAGAGTCACCACCAATGTGCTGACCTGGATATGCTGGGTAAGGGATGAGAAAATAGAGGAGATTCATTATTTTTCCTGGCTGGAAGGGCAGGATACGTGAGCTGCATCCCTTGCTTTGAACGTGGCTGCAATCCTGTGGTGCCTCCTGGATGTGGGGGTGTGA